TATAATCTCAAAAAAGAATGAATAAAAAAGTATTTTATAGTAGGAAGTAGAAAACTGCTTGGCGATTAGACGAGGCAAGCCTCAAAGGGCGCCTTGTCGCCTAGGTGTCATGTGCTCTGAAGACATGGAAGTGGGATAGCATAAAAGGCAGCCAAACCAGAAGATGGGTGGAGTTCAGATATGAACGGCTCCGAAATTTTTGCTACCAGTGCAGGAGACTGGGACATTTGTTGAATGCCTGCGGGGAAGCAGCGGAGGATGAAGACACAGATGAGGAAAGCCCCAATAAAATGGAGTCTAGTCAAATGTCCAAGAGGTATGGACCTTGGCTCGGGCATCCCCAGTGGGGGGATGATCAGAGAAGATACAAGAACCCAATGGACCAGGAAGGTGAGAAGCAGGGTAACAACCATGGACCCAGGAACGAAGCTCCAACTCTCAGGGCAATCAAAGGTGGCCACGTGGATAGGGAATCAATCAATCACTACACCGTAGAGAGAATCAAGGAAAAGGTGAGGCTGCTAGGAAAGCTTTCCATAATGGACAAAAAGGTACCATCATCAATGACTGTGCTACAGAGGATAGTAATAATGGTAGAGAAAAAGAAGCAGGCGTGCTGGGGAAAAAGACAAAAGCGGTTACAATGGCTCATATTCTTTACTTGACAGCTGAGACAGCCCTCGGTACAGAAGATAGAGGGAAGGACAAACAGCAAGCACTAACAGAAGGGCAGGGAACATCCAAATGTATCAGAGCTTCGTTAAAGAGGAAGGGAAATGGACGCTGAACTGGAGAAGCACAATATTGAAGAAGCCAAACCACCTAAACTACAGAAGATCACTTCAGATCGAGACAGAGTAGGGTCATTGCTCAGCCTGACACCAAAATGAAAAGCTGCTCAATTCAACAGAGAGATCGGTGGATGCTACTCAACAGCCCCACTGGACACCATGCGTTGGCTATCTTGGAATTACAGGGAATGGGGCAACTCCCAACAGTTCAATACCTCTCAGAGACTGCCGCTCCTATCATCCTAGACTAATCTTCCTGATGGAGACAAAAAGCCCAACCAGTACCATGCAGAGGATCAGTAGACGTTTAGGGTACCATTCCAGTTTTTTAGTAGCACCCAGAGGACTTTCGGGAGGCCTAACAATAATGTGGAAGGAAGATGTATCCATCAATATTACATCATCTTCCCACAATCTGATTACAGCGTAGGTGGAATTACACTCAGGGCAAAAGTTCACAATCACAGCATCATTCATCTACGGGCCCCGGAGCAAAGCAACAGGCACATCACCTGGCAAGAACTAGAAAATGTTGGGTCACACATTAGTGGTGCTTGGCTAGTCATTGGAGATTTCAATGAAATCTTAAGTTGGGAAGAAAAGAAAGGAGGAAGGACACGCAGCCAAATTCAGATAAGAAACTTAAAGGTAGCTCTGAAGGCGTGTGGATTGGCAGATATGAGCTACCGGGGTTCAGACTTTACATGGAGTAATAACAGGCAGGGGGACCAAAATGTGGTGGAACGGAAAGACAGAGCAGTCTGCAATTCGAGATGGATAGCCCTGTTCCCAGAGGCTGAAGCTCCAAGCCAAGAGATGGAGTTCAGACAATATCAAGCTAACCCAGAAAAGAAAGGAACTTCAGGAGGTTATGAAAAATGAGGAAACCTTATGGTTCCAGAAATCCAGAATAAACTGGTTGCAGTTGCGAGATCGAAACACTAAATATTTTCATCAAACAACTCTGCAACGGAGGTGGGTGAATAGTATTGCGAGATTGATGGATGCAGGTGGATTGAAGAAAAAGAGGTGTTAGACCAACTTATCATGCAGAATTTTCAAAATCTTTTCAGCAAGCCAAACTCGCGGGATCAGCTGAAAGACCTCAAGGATCTCAATTTCTTCCAAATCACTGATAGCCAGAATGAGACCCTTCTAAGGCCTATCTCAGATGAAGAAGTCCAACTGCTTTATTCCAAATGGGAGCATACAAACCCCAGGTCCAGATGGTATCCCGGCGGGAGTTTACCAACATTTCTTGGGTGATATTGGGCCAGACATCAACCATTAATAACACAGCTCTTCCTATCAGAGGTAATTCCAGCTGACTTAAACCATACCTTGCTGTCTTGTTCCTAAAGTGAAGGCGGGAGTGTACCAACATTTCTTGGGTGATATTGGGCCAGACATCAACCAACTAATAAAACACCTCTTCCTATCAGAGGTAATTCCAGCTGACTTGAACCATACCTTGCTCTGTCTTGTTCCTAAAGTGAAAAACCCAAGTAAAATAACTGATTTCAGACCTATATCTTTGTGTAACGTCATATATAAAATTTTCCCCGAGGTCTTGACCAAACGCATGAAGGCACTCATACAAGACAAGCTTCTGAAAATGGAGATTTCCAGGGGGTGAAAATATCTAGGTCGGGCCTGAGCATATCACATCTCTTATTTGCAGACAACTGCATGGTGTTCTCTAGAGTGGATGTGGGAAACTGCAGAGGTGTTCATCAGGTGTTATAAAAATTCTGCAAAATTCCAGGTCAGGAACTTAACTATAAGAAGTCAAGCATAACACTCAAATCAGGATAAAGTGGATGATAATCCAGGTGACTTCACATTCCAATATCAGGCTCAAGGAAATACCTTGGATTACCAGCGGAAATGGCTAGGAGCAAGAAAGAGCTTTTCCTAGAGATTTGTGAAAAAGTGGAAAAGAAGACATCTGTGTGGAAAAGAAGGCTTCTCTCGCAGACAAGGAAAGAAGTTTTACTGAAATCAGTGGCCTTAGCTATGCCAATTTATGCAATGTCCCACTTTAAATTGCTGGTCAGCATATGCAAAATGATGATTTATAAGAGAGCAGCCAATTTCTTTTGGGGGCAGCATCAACAGGAACGCAGAGTTCATTGGGTAAGCTGGAAAAAGCTGAGTAATCCTAAACGGTTGGGCAGTCTGGGATACAGGCATATTATCGAGCTTTGTTGGCCAGAATGGCTTGGAGGTTAGTAAGAAATCCAGATTCATTGTGGAGTATATTGCTTAAAGGGAAATACTTCCCTCAATCCAATTTCTGGGAAGCCTCAGTAGGAAACAAAGCTTCGTGAGCCTGGT